GAAAAATAATATGATCAAATTACTTTCAAATAACAGTAATAGATAGTATAGTTTGATAGTAACAATACTATCAAACTATACTGTCAAAAGCAAGCACTGTGAAATAAATAGTAAACTGATAATATATTTTGTCTCAAAAATTACAATTCTTTAAACCCACACATTACAGAAGTACTAAAACATGTTTTTGGATTATTTTTCCAGTTGATATTGATAAAGAAAAAATACTGATGATAGTGATAGATGAAGTGTTGAGTCTAGTTGACCTATCCTGTAATATGGTCTCTTCATACTCTTTGCTTTAAAACTAAGAGTTAAAATTCTATGTTAAGAAAGTTTGAATTCTGTATCTTATATGCAAACTGCCTTATAAGCCAATAGATAGTATATGTTATGCTTAGTTTGCATGATTTATTATGGTTGTATTGAACATGGAGAGTGACACTGCCTTAAATCTGGATCAATGAGATAGAAGAAGCCAAGTACACAATATGGTACAGTCATAAATAGCATAAGTGGGCACAGCAAGACCTCCCCTATAAAGTAATGTAGAATTTACACCCAACATTTCACCATAGAAAGGATCTGTATGTTGCTAAGAGTTGACACAGATTTGATGGCAAACATCAAGTGATCTTGTGAAAAAAAGAAGGCATTTGCAATCTCTATACATGCTCAGTGATTGTTCATTGGGAATTTTCCATGGAATATGTTCCTCAAGACATGTAAGATACATTCTCCTAGTGGATAATGAGCCTCTGAGAATTAGATCTGAGCCTTTGAATTCAGCACTTTTCCTATAATTGGGCACCATTAATGTGGAAGCTTTGTCCTGTTCTTGTCCAGGCTGAAGTAGTGTAACTTGGGAATAAGAACCTATTGAGCATGGTTTCTATAGAAACCCAGGTAGATAGAACAGTAACTTTTAATAAAGATAGTTTACATTTAAAAAAGAAGAAGAGAAAGGGTGAAAAGAATACAAAGTAGAGAGGGGGCATGATCCATGGTATAAAAAAAAAAGAGGCATTTTCTTCCATAATAGGATGACATTAAAATGATGGTAGTAATTTAGACAGTCTTTAAAAGGGATTAAAGAAATTCATGAAGGGTAAAATAGTTGGAGGCTATTAACTGTTATGGTTATATGCCTCTTCATATATATTACTGTGATATTACAGTTTATCCTACATCCTCATTGGATTTCCTATAGTATACTTTTAGCTACCATAAAAAGGAAGTGCTATTCTAGGCCTATATTTTAATCCAGCAGGGGTCTTACATTAATAAGCAAAATACTGTTCATGTGATTGCTTTTTCACCAGATGGGTGCAAGGAATATTTGATTCTTAGTGATTTCATCACTGGAATATTAAGGATGCTGTTTCTTAGGTTGCTTTAGTAGAGAGGGCTACTTTAAGAGAGCTACTTTAGTGCAGTGGTTAAGACACTGGATTCAGGAGACCATGAATTCCAGTCCCCCTCATTAGGCACAGACCCAATTGAGTGACAAATGAAGATGAATACATGTGACCCAGGATAATGTTGCAGGATCCAATCTGCGTCAGTCACCAGAACCAGAAGTTTTGTTTTCCGAGCTTTCGGATTCGTGCTGAAGCCCATCTTTAAGGAACTTTTCTCTAGTTTGGCTCCCGTAGAAGTCCGAAAGCTCAGAAGACAAAACTTCTGGTCCTGGGGACCAACTTAGATTGGATCCAATTGGGTGATCTTGATCCAATCACTCTCTTAGCATTAGGAGGCGGGAAGCAATGGCAAACCATTTCCCGAATCTTGCCAAGAATACTGCAAAGACTCGTCTATGAGGTTGCCAGGAGTCAACACTGATTCAAAGACACAAAACAAACAAACAAACAAACAAACAAACAACAAAACCCCACTTCTGAAATCTGAAAGGCACAAAAAAATCAAATAAACAGAAAACAAAACAAAAACACAATGCAAAGACAAGACAATCCAGGTTTAAAACCTACTCTTCTTTTGTATGGTCCTTTAAAATACTTTATAAGATGAGTTAATTTAAAATTCAGTGTGTTGTTCAGATTAATTAGTACAAGGAAATTATATAGAAACCTCTCTTTGTATGTTATATTGTCAAGACTTTAAAATTGTTTATATTAACTTTCAGTGTCTCCGAGTATTTGGTTGTCAACATTCATTAAAAGATACTGACCTGTGGAGCTCTAAATGATGTCAGAATTAAACTTTTAAAAATACTATTAAAAAAAGCAATCAGTTCATGAAATTATATGCTTAACTTCATAAATGCTTCAGTTTACCACACAGTAATAAACATATATTTTTTTGTTTTATGAAAGGGCCAATTTGCTATAGTGGTTAAGGCATCAAGATAGAAACTGGATGACTTGAGTTTTAATCTCACTGTGGGCACGGAGCCTTCTGGGTGGCCTTGGGCCAGTCACTCTGTCTCAGGCCTAGGAAAGAGGCAATGGCAAACCACTCATGAAAAACCTTGCCAAGAAAACTGCAGAGGCTAGTCCAGGCAGTCACTGAGAATTGGGCACAATTAAACGGAAGAAGACGGAAAAAATATTAACATTTCAAGGCAACTTGTCTTTTGAAAAGCTTTCTAAAGCTCATTTCTTTAGTTTCTATAGAACCTTATGAAAATATGTTCTAAATCACACTGCAGCGACGATCATGTGTATCATGTATCATGCATTTTTCTGCCACATACTATGGATGCTCTTCCATTTGTGTGTTTTTTAAAAAAATGGTGAAATTTTCATCCATGATACTAGGTATTTTCATCAATAGCATTTGGGCAAAGTTATTTAGCAAAACTTTGGGGGAAAAAAGATGTATCTTATTTTATTTTATTTTATTTATTATTTTATTATTTTATTTTTATTTTTTCACTCACCTTTTGGTAGTTTAAGATGGGTAGAGCACTGTGTCCATTTATGTCTTGGTTGTTTCTTTTTTACTTTTAGTTATTATATGCAATCAGGTAACAAGTTGCAATTTCCATCTTTTTTTTTTTCTTCTAAAAATATTTCCTTGCCTTCATTTTCTGGTTATTTTCTTTTTTAACTATTTTGTCTTGATAAGTTAGGAAAAAGAAATCAGGCACTGATTTCCCAGTCCTCTCTCCCCCCCCAAAACAGTGGAAAGAGGGAGGGTATCCAGAGTCCTAGAAGGAAATATATATTTGAACGGATTCCAAATGTGTGAGCGTAAAGGGTCCTTCCAGTGTAATATTCCATGGGAAACTTGAGATCCATTCCCCCTTTGTCTGATAGTTACCTAGAAAATGCAGCATTTGGCTAAGGCTGTGCAAAATTAATAGCAAGACTCTGAAACTGAGTCCTGCATTTGAAATTTGGTAGTTGCAAAATGAGGCATCTCACTTGCAGTCAGAAAGGCTGTGCCTGTTTGTTCTGCTATCTACAGAAGAGTTTTGCTAGAACACATTACTCTTCGGACAAGACTGGGCCAAGCTACCTGTACGGAATCAAACATAGGAACCAAAGTAAATAATCAAGACTTACTGTGGTGTTTATTAAGCAGCATGTGCTGGTAGGATTCCTTCAAAAGAATGAATATTGAGAGAGACCCCGCTCAACAAAGTGATGCACTTGTATTTATACTTTTCAGAAAGATAGGAGAATCCAATGCATAAGCAACAGAAGTAGGGTACTTATTAGTAGATAAAGGATTTCAAGTTACTATATGTATTTCTATACTATACTTCCCTGTCGGAAGCACCGAAGCCCTTTATGGTGAAAGTAGTGGTGGGATTCAGATGATTCGCACTGGTTCGCGTGAACCAGTTGTTAAATTACCCACCCACTCCCACAATCAGAGTGGATCCTGGGTGCTATGCTCTGCTGCAATGGAGAAACAGGCAATGGAGCGGCTGGTGCAAGGGAAGGAGAAAGCCGCTTTTCCTCTTTCTTCTCCCTGCTCCTCCCCCCCCCTTGCGCCAGCCGCTCCATTGCCCGTTTCTCCATGGCAGCACAGGACAGCACCCAGAATCCATTTTGATAGCAGGGGTGTATGTAATTTAACAACCAGTTCGCCCAGGGTCAGGTTTGGCCACGCCTCCCACAACAGGCAGCCTGACCCTGGGCGAGTCAGTTGTTAAATTATTTGAATCCCAGCAATGGATGAAAGATTGGCCGGTGACATCACCCTTGCCTGAGGGACACTCACTATAGGTAATGAAGCTCAGGTTACTTCCTGCACAATTTTTCCTTCAGAAACCAAAAGATAGAAATTAAACAATAAAACAGGGAGGAAAACATTTCCCATAAATCAAGAGGAGAAGGGACTTGGGAATGATTAGGCATCAAAAGAAAAACATTTCCTATTGCAAATCTTATTCTAATAAGATATCAGAGTGTGGCCTTGTATCTCTATATATAACTTGATTTAATAGATTCCATTCATCCCCAAACTTGGAACAACTTTTGAAGGCCTAAATTTACCTATCATGACTTTGTCTTAACCTGTCGTTGTCATTACTTGCAGTCTGCATTATCCCTGATCCTCCATCTAATGCAGATTATAAGAATAAAGACAAGCTATTGACTTTATGTAAGGCAGCAACTCCCACTGATGAAAAGCAAGGTGCCTTAATAAAAATGAAATGAGATTTGGTTTTTATTAGGGCTGTGCAAACATCTCCAGTGGAGTTTCACAGAGTTCACTGGTTGAAGGACACACCTTTGAGCTTGGAAGCAGTTGCATCTTCCTTGAAGATTCAGTATGGCTGCTGTAGGAGTTTTCACATGTTGTTTTTGTATGTGAGTGCACATACAAGCTACCTCATGGCAATCCCAGAATTGTTGAGTACTTTGAGGTTAAGCATATAGCACCACTGTAGTCTGTGCATTTGCTGTTTGCAAAACACCACCGTCCGTAGTTGTTATATTAGAGCTAGTGAGTTTCTAGAAGTCATCAAATGAATTTTATAATCCAAGTTTAGCTTTCCATCTCACCTGATCTACTTTTTGCTTTAGTTTTCAGACAAAACTGATAGAGATTATTACACTCTGGATGACATGTTCGTTTCCAAAGCAGCAAAGAGGGAGGAAAGTGGAAAAGCGGAGGAAAGGGAAAGAAACCAAGCAATCCGTGAGCATCAACGACTTGCTGCCTGCATGGAAAAATGCCCTCATTGCTTTGGTAGCTCTGAACTTCCTAAACACCTAATCATTGCAATCGGTAACAAGGTAAGGGAAGAGCATCAGTTATTCTGACATCGAAATGGATGAATTAAAAGAAGGCTGTTCTCTGTGCATGATGTTATGAAATTAAAATTAAGATTGCTTCCCATGACATGAATGATTGCTTTTGAACAACCCTGGCTCTTCAATTAAGAGGAAAAAGCCACTTCAAGGATGCAGCAAATATGAATATGACTTGTCTTGAATGATAAACTTAATTTTCAGTACTTCAGATTTGTTGATGACCTTGCTGCAATGATACACAAGATCTGAATATTTAGGTGGCACAAGAAGAGTAAATAATTAGGAGGCCAAAGCAGAGTTGAGTTGTAAGACGAGAAGAGTCATAGAGGACAGGTGAAATTATAATTGGCAGAAGAAAACAAAGGCACAAAGACAAACAAAGTCATTCAGATATTAAAAAAACAACAGATATAGTCTCTCCTCCTTTTAAAACGAATTTGGAATTAGTTTCAAAGAGCTGAAAGAAACCATTCTAAGGCATCACATTCAATCTTCTGCTCCTTGCAGAAATCCAGCATCCTTGATAAATGACGTTCAGCCTGTGCTTGAATATATTCAAGGAAGGGATTCCAGTCCAAATTAGATGACATGGAAATCTTTCTTTCTCCCTCTGTGTGTATTTTTTCAGACTCTATATACAAATAAAAGAACCTTATAGCTGAGAAATAATAATGTTTCCCGTTTTGCCACTTTTTCTCATTCAGGAACCTGTCCCATATGGACCCTGTCCTATATGGATATATAAAACCCTGGTATGAAATCTGTTAAGCAGATTCCCCACTGCTGGAACTTGTAGTTCCTTTAAAATGAGAGTCTCTTTAAACAAGTTTTATAACATGTCTAGTTTGGCTAGAATAAATCATGCAAATCATAAGGTCAGTGTACACTAACTGGATGCTCAAACATTGCATTTTCTTTTCTAGGTGTACTTATCCTTGCCGAGGTACCAGTCTCTTACTGAAGGTCATTGCCTGATCACTCCTATGCAGCATTACATTGCTGCCACACTTCTAGATGAAGACATTTGGGAAGAAATTCAGGTGAGCACAGCTTCTAGTTTGATCCGGTTTTTTATGATGCGAGTTTTAGGTGCTGTAAGTATAACATGGTACGAAGCTTGGTTTTGGTATGTACTTTATGCTGGGGGTCTCCAACCCCCGGGCTGTGGCCTAATGCCAGGCTGTAGCCCGCTCAGAACCGGGCCGCAGAAGTGGTGGTTGAATGTACTGGAAGCTGCATTTGTGAAAGTGATGTGCACACGAAACCATTTCCTTCACTCCTCCGGTCCACTCGAGCCAGAAAGGTTGGGGACTGTTGCTTTAGACCCTTTCTTCTGAATGTCTTTGGATGACCACTATTGTAGTTCATATTCTGTAGAATTGTGAAATTTGTCCTTTGAATTACAAAAGTTCGACAAGAAATTATAAGAGAAGCTTACATTCTGAGGATTAAGAGTTTGTAGCCCACTAGATAAGGACTGCAAGTTGAGACATTTCCTGAGAGCCGAGTATGGAGTATCCTTATCTCTTTCTAGAAGAAGAAAGAAAACACAATAAATAAAAGATGAATATGGTCTGTAAAATACATATTGTATCAGTTTTCCTTCAAAGAGATACGCTTATCAAAATGCTTTTGATAAAAAGTGTTTTACTGGAGCTTTCCAGACCTCTGCGAAGACCAGTTCTCTCAAAGGAAATTACAGTGCATTTGTTGACGATCTCACTGTTACTGAAATAAAAATATTTCAAAACTTAAATCTTTCAGTTTAAGGCTTTGGCAAAACAAGCCACAATGATAACCTTGCTAATGATGATTTGTAACAGTTACAGTTGCCAAGTCAGATATTCATTTTTATTGAACTTTAGAAAAAATTAGATAGTTTATCTTTGGAGATAATGTTTATTTGTTTGGGATGATTAATGGTGTTTACTAGAGATCATTTAAGCCCTTAAGAGCCTGCAAAGGTTCTCCACATTCCTCAGATAGAGGAAACCAATTCACTGAAAAGCTAAATATAAATGCTCAACACACACACACACACTGAAATATATACATACATGTTGTGGCTCCGATTCCCAAGCCTGTGCTGTTAGAGGAAGAGGACTTGGAAGATGAGGAGGAGGAACTGGGAATGCCTTCCTCCCCAGGACTTTCCTCTCTGGCAATGCCTTCCTCCCTGATAATGCCTCAGGTTTCATCAGACAACCGAGAGGAACAGCCTGAGATTAATCAGGAGGAAGGCATATCGGAGCAGCCCCTGACAGGGAGTCAAGAGGAAGAATTTTGGCCTTCCCTTCATCCAAGATGATCCAATGGGCTGGATTGTCATGTGTTGAGGGTGGACCAGATGACAGAAAATGTATTGTTTGATTAAACTATTCTGTGATTTCAATTACTGGCTTATTATTTTGCTTAGTTTCCCAGTCAGCCAGAATTTTAGACTGGATTTAGCAATTTTGTCCACTTATTGAGTCCTTCCCAAGGAACTGGATAAGCAGATGTTTAATAATATTAAAGGTATTGTCACAGGATATAAGCTGCCCCAAACATATCTGCCTTTTGCTATTCACTGATGGTGATTTTGTGAATGCTGATAGGGTTCAAGGGGTGCTCCAGATGTTTTGGAATTGTACTCATGGTGCCTATTACTATAAATAGTGATTAGATTAGATTAACAGGGGACCTTGTAGGTTATCTAGTCCAACCCCCCACTCAAGCAGGAGACTGTACACCAGGGCTGTCAAACTCCCGACCCATGGGGCCAGATGCGTCCCATGCTGGCCACACCCACAGCCGTTTTAGTGAAGAAGAAAGCCCCATTATGTCACGTGACACCGCCATAACGACATGAGTTTGACACCCTTTGCACTACACAATTTCTGACAGATGGCAGTCCAGTCTCTTCTTGAAAGCCTCCAGTGATGAAGGTCCCACAACTTCTGAAAGCAACTTCTGTTCCATTGGTTGATTGTTCTCACTGTCAGAAAAATTTTCCTTATTTCCAGGTTGAATCTCTCGTCCATTTTCCATCCATTATTTTTTGTCAGGTGGTTTGGAAAATAGGTTGACCCACTCCTCTCTGTGATAGCCCCTCAGATACTGGAACACTGCTATTGTGTCTCCCCTGGTTCTTCTCTTCACTAGGCTAGCCGTGCCAAGTTCCTGCAACTGTTCATCATATGTTTTAGCCTCCAGTCCCCTAATCATCTGGATTGCTCTTCTCTGCTCTCGACTTATGACAATAATTGGGACCAGAATTTTTGTTGCTGAGCAAAGCAGTTGTGAAGTCAGTCACACCGATTTTATGACCACTTTTTCCATGGATGTTAAGTGAATCACTGCAGTTATTAAGTGAATCATGCAGTTGTTGAACGAATTGACTTTGCTTGTCGGAAGCTGGCTGGGAAGGTTGCAAATGGCAACGACATGACCCTGGGATGTGTCTATATGCACACTGTGGTAGTTGTAAGTGTGAGGATGGTTGTGAGTCATTTTTTTCAGTGCTGTTGTGACTGTGAACAGTCACTAAATGAATGGTTGTGAGTTGAGGACTACCTGCATTGTACTATTTTTGCTTTATTTTTACGTAGTCATTCTATATCTGTTTTCAGGTCTTTATATTTTGTGATTTTCTCCTGTTGTTTCTCCTCTGTTCAGCTGTCTCCAGGTATTGCGATGTCTATTATCCAGCCTTTTTTATCTTTCTTATCAACAATTGTTAAATGTTGAATGAAAACTCTTAATAGAAAAAGTAATTTTCTATTATTTTTTCCTATTTTGTGGTTCCACCAGTTCATGCTTGCAGGCACATGGTTTTTCTTGCAGATGGTCCAATATACCATCGTTGCTACTTTGTCATGTTTGTAACTCAAGTCTGCTTGATCTTCTTGCAGCAACTAGATAAGTGGTCCACTGTTTCTTCAGCTTTACACACACGTGCACAAAAATATGAAATTACAGCTGCCACTTTTTTAGCTGGTATGGTCCTTCATATACCAGAACCTAGGAGTTGTGACATATTGATGCGTGGTATATCTGCAGATCCAAGCGGTGTGGCCTTTTTAATTGACAGCTGGAAATGTTGTCAACGCACAGGTTTTGTTAGTCCTGTCCAGCATATTTTGGTATGGCACCAAGGGTGCCAATAATATTTGCTATGCCAAAATACCTTGGACAGCACAAAATTATTATTGGCATCACTATGGCTGATTTATGCCATAACGTTTCAGTTTCTAGATCTATGTGAATACAATCCTATGTTTAAATTATCCATCCCCAGTGCACTGAATAATTTCATAAAACTGGGATTTCTGAGCCTTTCTAAAAAAAAAAAAAAAAACCCTGTTCATCCTTCGCCTCTGTTGTTGAAACAGACACATTTACTTGGCACAGAAACTGGGCACGTAACTATTTAATCTGGAGATAACTTGTTGTTAATAAAGCCTAGTTTTGTCAGCTGCAATGTGCAAGAACTGTCTAATTTACAAAATAAATACCTTTTAAAATCACCTCTCGTACTCAGCTTGCACAACATATTCTAACATATTGCAGACAGCAAGGAAGACCGTGATTTTTTTCTTTCTTTAGTTATGGTCAAACAAATAGGAAAAACAATATTAAAAATGGGTGTCAGACATATCCTTTGGAATGCTGCCGTTATTGATTTCAGTCTGAAATGTATACAGTTTGTAGTTGAACTATAAACTTTTGCACTCTGATCACAGGTATGAAATACAAAATCTCGGAGAAGGTTTAATGAAATCTATAACAAATGCAGGCTATTGGATCTTGGTTGCAGAAATCCAGATGACAGTCTGTAAAGTAGTTTTTTTTTTTTCCCCCTTGCCATCAGAAGATCATCCAGATTTTTAAAGCTCAGAGCTGATAGTCCTAGCAAAGGCCTTTGCCTCAGAGCTGAGCCGAGCAATGTCTTTTGGAAAGTCAAGCTTTACTCTTTGATCTTTTTTTTGTCTTAAGTCTCTGGTTCCATTAGTCATATTGTTATGCTGTGGATTTTGTCAGTTTCCCAAGCGAGAAACTTCGCTTGTATGACATTGACTCTGGTAAATTGGGGGATGTAACATTTGTTCTTCTTACTCCTGCTGTCTCTGGGTTCCCAGATATTTTGGTCTGGGTAATGGCGGATAAGTCTACAGGGAAGTAAAATTGGTAAAAAATAAAAATGGCACTGGTTGGTCTCTGCTGGACTGGAGTATTTTTTTTTGGAAATGGCATTTTGGGGTACAGGATTTCTTGTTTCCAGTTTTTGTTCTTAAGTTCAAAAATATTGATAGGACGATCTGATTTAAAACATTATTCTATGGCTAACGTTACTGGGCTTTTCAGGTGAACATTGATCCCTTTGCCAAGCAATTTTAGGTCATTCATTTAGTCATAATTATGTATGCGTTGTTCTTGGCTGCTATGAATTTTAATATGTGTGTTATTTTAATTGTCTTTATTCTTTTAAGTTTTGTTTGTTGCTTAGAGTCATTGGTGAGGTGGCAGCCATACAAAATACATAAACAAACAAATAAGTAACAACTTTTAGGAGTCTCTGGGAACCTAGGCAACTTCAGCTTAGCTAACCTCAAGTAATAGTTATAAAAAATTCATAATTGTCTCCTAAAACTTTTAGAGAATTGAACCTGGTACTTGTTACTATATATCCTGGATGATAATCAAACCTCATCCTAGTAACTGCAGTGACAAAGCAGATTGTTTTGGTATACTTTGCCACAAAAGTCTCCCAAATACTATTGCCAGAATGCATGCTAGTGGCAATGTCAAGCAATAATGTGTTAACCATTGAATTAATTCTTAGTCTGGACAACAAGAACAGGATATTTAGCTGACTGGTAAAATGGTTCTTGAAGATGCTGGCCAGGGGGTTGTTTCTGTTTATTTTTGCATTTAATTGTCATTGAAACTCAGACCTTCTGATGCCAGGATTTTAGGTTGATAGCCTTTGCTTGAGGCTGATTAGAATTCTCAGCACGTTAAAACTAAAAACAAAAATCTGAAATGGAAGTTTGTTAGCTGTCTTCAGATTTTCTCCAAATATATATGTATTTTTGCAGAGATTTGCCTTGATGTATAATCTAAACCAGGGGTCTGCAACCTTAAACACTCAAGGAGTCATGTGGACCCGTTTCCCATAGAAAAACAAACAAACCACCGGGAGCCACAAAACCTGGGTGGGCATGGCCAACTCAACGTCAGTCACATGACCCCAGTCACTTTACCCCAGATTTTGTGGCTCCTGGGTGTTTTCTGTGGGAAATGGGTCTCTCTCCCTCCCCCCTCTATCTCTCCTTCCCTCTCATTTCTGTTTTTCTCTCTCTCTTTCTCTCTCTCTCTCTCTCTCTCTCTCTCTCTCTCTCTCTCTCTCTCTCTCTCTCTCTCTCTCTCTCTCTCTCTCTCTCTCTCTCTCTCTCTCTCTCTTCTTTCTCTCCCCTTCTCTCTCATTTATTTGTCTCTCTTTTTCCTTTCTCATTCTCTCCCTCCATCATTTCCCCATTTCTCTCTCTTTCTCTGTTTTTCTCCTCTTTTCTCTCTCTCATTTCCCTCTCATTCTCTCCCTCTCATTTCTGTTTTTATCTCCTTTTCCCCTCCCTCTCCCCCTCTTTCATTCTTTTCTTTCTCTCTCCCCTTCTCTGTCTCATTTGTTTCCCTCTCTCTCATTCTACCTCCAGCTCTCTCTCATTTCTGTCTTCCTCCCTCTCCTTCTCTCCCTACTCTTTCTCTCTCATTTGCTTCTCTCTTTTTCCTCTCTCTCATTCTCTCCCTCCATCCTTTTCTCTTCAAGCAGGGTAGCAGGAAAAGGGGGCTGGCCCCACTGAACCTCACACGACCACCCCAGGGATCAGGCTTGGAGAAAGCCGGAGGACCCTCACCAAAGATGCTCGCCCGTCTGCCAGTCAACCTGCCAACTCTGCGTGCCTTCGCTGCACTTTGGCCAAGCCCAGCCTCTAGCTTGAGGAGGGTATCCCCACTCGTGCGTGCCCTCCTGGCCTCGCAACAGCCTGCCAGGGGGTCACGTGAGAAGGAGGAGGAAGCCGCCACTGCAGTTCGTTCTTGCTCCTCAGCTGCAGGCCTGTCCCCCTTTCCATCATACTCTCCTCCCAGATCCCATTCCCACCCCACCAGCCCTTGTGTTAGCGAGATTGGTGTCGTCCACAGCTGGATTGGGCCAGTGGCTCGGGGCAGAGAGCAGGTCGCGCAACTGGGTCAGCAGAGAGTCATGGGAGAGGGCTCAAAGAGCTGCATGTGGCTCAGGAGTTGTGGGTTGCTGACACCCGGTCTAATCTATAGACTCAGTCCCCTTTTTAAAGTATGCCTTACTTAGTTTTTTTGTTGTATTTTGTTTTCTTTCAACACTGCCAATAACACTGTGTTACTTTACTGGAGAACCAAGCATCTTGGTAGCCACATCAGGCTATTCAGTTATTTTGTTTGTCATTGTTTCTGGTACTTCATGAAAATAAAAGATCTGTTGCCTTTCATCCTGGGATTCTTTCGACCATAACTTACGGCAGAACATATGCAAGTCCTAGTTTCAAACTGGCGTCTCTAGATAATAGTTCAAGTGACAAATAATGGATGTGGGTGGGGGAAACTCTGCATAAACCTCTGGAGTATTTCTGCCATTCAAACTATGTCATGTTTTTCTGGAAGGACAAGTAGTCTGATTTATTATAAGGCAGTTCGGACATTTACATAATTGTTAGCAAGAAAATAACGCAACCATCTGTAGTTAGGCTGCCATTATCAGATGTATTAGTATTAGATTTTTTTTTATAAGAATGTATTGCTTTTCAGTTTGTTTTTTATTCTGTATGGATGTTTTGGCCTCAGCAGCAAATACAGACAGTTTCATTTGCTTCTGGTATTACAAAATAAATAGTTGCTCTCATAATTAAAAAAATAAAGTTTGAAACTGTATTTCATGAGTTAGTGTAGCATGCCTCCTCATCTTATTTGGCTTATTTATATTATGAAACGTGAGTTTTATAAAATATATGTGATGCTATACAATCGGCCTGTGATTCAAGCAAATACAGACTATGGTTATTTTGAGGACCTCAAGTTGTTAGCACTTTCATCTTCTTTATCGAATATTATTACAACATTTCAAGTTTGGGTTATAGACTCATCTTTCATTTACTGGAAATCTGGACTGTGGTTTCCACCTTTTCCATTTTTTTTTCCCTAAAAAGTCCCAGTTTACAAACACTAGGGCAGATTCAAACTGATTCTCTCCGTAATTCTTTGTGACATCCCATCCTATGCAGGAGAATGAGTGAACGTGAACAGAGGTCAGGTCTGTTACAGTTAACAGGTTGGATAAACCTCTGCAGAACAGAGATGAGAGATCTATGATTGCTTTTCTTTAAGGGAATATTATTATTGCACTTAAAGGTCAATAAAGCCTGATGAAAATGTCACATTTTGACAAATTATGTAATTGGAAGGCAAAGTGGAAGAATGGTGTCATTTGGAGTCAATATAAGACAAGAGATTAACTTCTGTGTAAATGCGCCTAAAGCAGGGGTCCCCAACCACTGGTCCGCGGACCGGTACCGGGCCGCAGAACAAATCCTACCGGGCCGCTGGTTTGCTGGGCGCCGCCATCTTGTTTTGATGAAAAAGTGCTTCCGGTGAGC